TATAGGGAAATGATGGGAAAAATTTATGATGAAATACTGATGATAAAAGTGAATAGCAGTTAGTGCAGTACTTTCATCATCGTTCCATCATCCATGCATTTCCAGAAAGGTAGAAATCACTTTTGGAATAGCTGCAGAGCTGTGAAATTTTGAACGCATGCTTTAAAATTGGTAATTTTGCTTTAAAATTATCTCATTATTTTCATAATGTGATGTCAAGGTTTATTTTCAGCACAAATGTTTCCCTGTATGCCATCCATATACTGTTATTGTTAGCAGGTTAATTTCAACATAAAAAATAATATTTCTAAAGGACAAGAAAGCTGAAAAAAATAAAAAAATAGTTGGATTTTTTTATTTGTTTTTTTTTTAAATAAGAAAATCACCAACCCTGGAAAAAATATGACTAACCAGGCTTCTAGCCATGCCATTAGAGTTGTGAGATTTCATATGTTCTGAAATTATATGATATTAGAGGTGCAATGTTTCAGAACAAATAGGACTTTCCCAGCCTTGACTGCAGGTGGATGGGGGATATAGGTGAGTTGTGACTGATGGATATGAATGGTATAAGTTAACCATAAATCAGAATTTAACAGAATAAATTCCAGTTTGAATAATAAATGGTATAAAAATGATAAATAAATTATGATTTAATGAAAAATATAAAATGATAAATAAATGACAATTAAAGAATAAATTATAAACGACTGATGAATAAATGATGAATGAATGAATGATGTATGGATGATGAATGAATGGTGCATATAGGTTCATTGATGCATTCATTTGTCAAACAGGTTAATAAGGGATGGTTTTAAGCATTTTTTGTTAATAACTTCTTTCCATGAAACTTTCATTAACAAGTTTAGGCTCATTTTATAGCTCTTTGTGAGGGCTATTGAATGGCATCTTGAAAAAATTCCATATGCTATTCACAAGGTGCCAGCCTTCAGACAGAAGGCTGGCATTTCAACCTGAAATCAACCAATAATAAACGTTTCAACGTCGAATGCCTGCTGTGTTGGCAATGATTAAATCAAAATGATTAAATCATGTGATTATATCATTTGATTATTTTATAAACAAAACATGATTTTTTTTATTTTTGATTTTTTTATATATAAATATATTTAGTGGCAGTCTTTAATTTATTTTGAGGTATTGTTATTCATGGTTTAGTATAAATTACTATGAATGACAAATTGGTATATAAACTTGTTGCCTTTAGTGTGTATTAGGTTCCAATAAATTGAATGGTTTTGTACATAGGCATCAAGTGTTGCAATACATTGTACATAGCTAGCAGCTTAGCTAATTCTTATAAGGCTATAAATAGTCTATAACTATTTGACTTTTTGTTATAAATTTATTACAATATACAATTTAAATGTGTTAGCTAGCTTATACAGGTTGGGGCAGAACTGATTGAGCAGTTTTGAGGCAAAATAAAATAGTAATGGATGTACATAAAGAAGAAAGTTTATTTTCCTCAAGATTAGCATAACATACCATTTAAAATACTTATGCTTTGAAAACAATATCAGGAAGATGGTGTCTGTTAGCTGCATTACACTGTTGGAGTTGTTCTAGGAAGTGCCATAATCTCTGCTGCAATAATCTGTCCCCTTAGCTGTGGTACGGTGTGCGGGCAACTTCTGAACACCCTTTCTTTTAGATGCCTCCAAAGAAAGAAATTGCAAATGCTCAAATCAGGTGACCCTGCAGGCCACTGTAGGTCACCCCTCAGAGACACTAGGCATCCAGGAAACATGTGTTTCGAAACATTGAGTGACATTCAGGCTGTGTGAGTTGTTGCTCCATCCTGCTGGAACCACACATCTCCCAATGCTTCATTTTCAATGATGTTTTCCATCCTGGGTTGCAAGAAATTTTACAACATTGCAGCATAGCGCTCTGAATTCACTGTCATGGTTACTCCCTCTTCTGAGAACGACAGAGAACGACTCCAACAGTGTGTTGCAGCTAATGGCCCCCATCTTCCAGATATTGTTTTCAAAACATGAGTATTCTAAATGGTATGCTAATGCTAATCTCTTGGAAAATAAACTTTCTTCTTTATGTACCTCCATTACTCATTTATTTTGCCTCAAAACTGCTCATTTGGTTCTGCCTCACCCTGTATATTGAGAGTTTGAGATTGTATTGACCTTTCAGGCAATTAGAAAGATTTTCCACCCTAATACAAGTATTCTGATGAAAATATTTAATTTATATTTTTAAATATGTGAATTTATAATTAGAAACAAAACCATTACTATTATAAAACTATATTTAAAATAATTGAATGCAGTGAATGGAAATAAAATGTTTGATTTGTGCACATGTTTATTTCAAACAGTTTTAGCTTTTCTCATAACATAAGTCTCATTTCAAGTTGTTTGAGGTTTGTTTGGTTATCGTTCAGTTTATGTTTAGTATTGATTTATTGGTCTGAATCAAATGAGAACAGTGCAGTCAGTCACTCAGTCACTACTAGTCAGTGTGTTTAGAGGGTAGAGTCTGGCAGATTTATAGGACATAGAACTAGTAGATCTATTGATAGTGCTGTGCACTGTGCACAGCACTATCAATAGCTGTGCACATATCAGCTACCTATCTGTTGTGTGACCTTTCAATGTTTAGAAGATTTGCATTCCTGAAGTGTTTTTGTATACCTATTGAAGCCAGTTAAATGGGCAATATTTAGCTTGTTACCTTGCTCTATACAAACTTTACAAAGCTAATGAATAGACATCAATAATAGTTTACCCAAAAATCCCAAAGTGGTAAACACCACCTTGGCCTGTTGACAAAAAAAGACAAAAAAGCTGAAAAAATCAAATAAATAAAAAATAATGAAAAAAAATTGATTTATAATTTTTTTATTTAAATAAAAAAAAATCGCCAACCCTGATCAGCAGTGGTTTTACATATCCAATGATGCACGACTTGCACGAGCTACTTCAAGAACTCATCACAGGATCACAACATAGAGCACTACCTGCTAAGCTTTTTCTTTTCTAACTTTAGGCCAATGCAGCATTTGGAGGGCCAATGTTACCTTTACTGATGGTAATTCAAAGTTAGTCGGTTTTACCTACAAATAATATACATTTAAAAGTTACTTTTTAAAGACACTTCCAAAGAATCCAGTATCTCCAATCTTACAGATGTACAATGAATTTCTCAACTAATTTTCGAAAATTAGAAAAATTTACTTTTAATTTTTTGAATATATATAACTTTTTTAATATATAAATTTTTTTTCAAAATTATTTATTCTGATAATTGATTCATGCATTGCCTCTGATTTCTCACAAGTGTGCAAAATTTCAGATCAATTAGACACGTAAAAGTGTGTCAAATATCAGTTATAAGATTTGTAGCTGACAAAATTATTTTTTCAATTTTTCAATATTGAAAAAATTTTTTTTTTACTTTTTAAAATCATTTATTTTCACATTTGATTCATGCATTGTCTCCAACTTTAAACAAGTGTGCAAAATTTCAGATCGATTGGATAAGTAGAAGTGTATTAAATTTCGATTAAAAGATTTGTAGCAGACAGACAGACAGACAGACAGACAAACAAGAAGTGAAGTTAAAGAGAAGTGTTGTAATAAATAATATGCGTTTAAAAAATACTTTTTAAAGACAACACTTCTGAACAATACAGTGTCTTGGATGTTACACATGTACAGGGTGTACCAGAATTAACTGACCCTTCTAATTTATTAATAAATAAAAAACTAAGAACGTTATGAAGTTAAAACTTATTTTATTTAAAAGAACATTTTTATGGTAATATTGTATCCTAGTTTTTAAATATAATATCTTTTACATGCCCACCACAATTGTTTTGACAAAATAGGGCTCTTCTCTTCGTTGCTTTTTTTCGATAAAATCTCTTTATCGCAAATTTTTGATAAAGAGATTTAATTGTGTTTTTTGAAGGACTGATTCTTGTTTTGAAATGGATCCTGTAATCACGTTGAACTTCTGTTATTGACATCGTCCTGATGTAGGTTTGCAGAATTTTCGTTCTTTCTTCTTTGCTGTAGCGAATCATGATGAAAATTTAAGGCTTGATAATTAAACACAAATTTAGCAAGCTATACAGGATAATGACGTAACTACGATACAATATTACCATGAAAATGTTCTTCTTTTAAATAAAACAAGTTTCAACTTCATAACGTTCTTAG